GCGTGACTAACAGCTTGAGGCGGCTGTGGTTAGGCACGGTATCTGCCTGGCAGAGGTATTGGGTTGGGATTTGTTTTTAATCTGTCCGTGTTGCACTGCCTGCTCCAACCTCTTGGCCGGCTCTGCCTCGGGCTGCGCAAGCCACCTGGCAGAAAGGCGCTGGATGTGGCCTGAGGTTTGCCGGGCACCCCGACGTTTGGGTGATGAGCGGACAGACTGGCCGGGGAGGGTTGCTCTGAGCAACAAGGGTGGTTTTTTAAAAAACCAAGGGACTTTTTGCTGCTTCTTTCAAATCTTTGGAAATGGGTTAGAGAGCTGCTGAGATAAAAATGCAGGAGGCAAATCTGCCTCGTGCCCGTTGCAGAGCCAAGGGCAGGTGGAAGGAGACCCAGTAAACAAAGTTAAAAGAAAAACTGAACAAAAAGCCTCACTGCAAGGAAAACTAGAAAAGGAAAGTGTTTTCTGCGCAGGCTGGCGGAGGGCTGGCTGGGGATCCCTTGGGTCCTGCTGCACCTGCCAGCCTGGGCTTTCTCAGAACTTGACTGGTTTTAATAAGAAAAAATTATTGTGTTTAGTTGTGGCTTTTATTGAAAGGAAATTGATTATTTTGGAGGTTGCCTTCTTTCCCCCCACGAGGTTCTCACGTAAGCAGTGGCCTTGCTGTCATGGGGTGCATTCGCTTCGTGCAATGCCGGTGCCTCCTGGGAGCCCTCACCGGGTGCTGTGCAGGCTGCTGCCGGCAAAGGTTTTGTTCTCCCCAGGTGGGGTAGAGGCTCGGGGGATTTCCTAATTTTACTTCTCTGCTGGTGAGGTGTAACATGTAGCTTCTCTGTCCGAAAAGGTGGAAGCTCCCCAGGCAAGCATGGGCAGCTTCTGGTGCAAAGCCAATGGAACACGTCCCCCGTGCCGGGCTGGGATGGAGAGGGCGGTTGGCAGCGAGGTAGATGCCTGGGGAAGGTCCTGAGAGCTGTCCCAGAGAAGTGTCCCATTGCTAAAATGAAACCCTTAATAATGGGTGCCATCTCTTTAATGGCTCGATCGCTGGCTTGATTAGTCAGCAGGGAGGAAGACGCGGCAGGATTGGGCTTTCCCATACGTAATGGAAGCTAACAGGAGGCCAAACGCCAATGCTCGTAAACACGCTTGGTAAATAAATACAGAGGGCAGAGCACGAGCGTCGCTGCCTAAAGCCTCCTACCAAGGTAGGCAGCACGTTCTCGTGTGCTTTTACAGTCAAAGTGCACCAAGCGAGGGTGGGTTTCGGCAGGCCAGCCCTGGGCCGGGGGCTGCGGCTCCGGGGGCCAAAAACCTTGCCCGGCCGCCACGCCGGCATGCGGACAGAGACAGAGCATTTCTGTGCTGGTGTTTTCTGCCTGTTGAGGCTGCTCATGGTCCCAGGAGATACCCTGGGCTTGGCTGGTTGTTTTTTTTAGCTTTGCTTTTCCTACATG